TTTTTTTTTTTTTAGTAAACACGACAGAATAAAGATTCAAGCAAATGAAGAACGTAGTTGTGTAACAATAATTAAATATCATATTAAGTGAAATGTAACTGATTCTTTTCAGCTTCAATTACAACATAATATTGTCAACAGTTTGATTAAGAAAATCTTAGAAATTCTCGTCTAATAATCATTATCAATAAATTATCTCTCATAGAGTATATTATTCCTACCTATTATTATAATCAGTATCACCATGTTTTTTATAGTCTTGACGATTATAACTATCATTCAGCGTTGAATGTTTCCATTGAGTTCGTTGTTCATCAGAATCATCATCATCCCATCCTATTCTTGATGGAGATTCTAAACATACATCAAAAGAAATTTATATTGCATTCAGATGTTTTCTCCAAAAATATTTTTTTACCTTGACCATCACGAATATTTCCTGTGGCATATTGATCAACATTATCAGTTCTATCTCTTGTATCAATAGTTCGATCTATAATCAAATGAAATAATTCTTATAAAATATAACAGAAGAAAAAAAAATATATAAACTCACGTTGTTTATTGTCTTCTTTTTCATCGATCACCGATAGAACATAATCTATAGTAAAGAAAAATTATTATATTATAATCGAATTAATAAAATACGAAATAAATAAAATTCGCAAAACCAAATATTACCTAATGCTTTATTAAAATCATTCAATATTTCCTTGTTGAATTGAAGATCTTTCTGCATTAATAGAATATTATCTGTTTGCAAGGTCCATGTTAACTGTTGTGCACCAATTTTACCAAGATCAACCAACATGGACGCCATAATAGTCTCACATCCGTCGCCAACCCACTCAATACAGAGATTTGCTTGATTTGAAAAGCAACTATACTTAACGAAAAGACTTGGTTCAGAACTAATTGATGCACCAGCAAATTCTACAATCATTAAAAAACAAAAATCTTCAAATTCAGAAAAGCAAAAGCAATTTGGTGGTAAAAACATCTATGATCTACTTATATAGATTTTCTCATGCATTTTCCAAGATATAAAGAGTAACTCAAACACAATATAATAGTTGAAATCGTGAAAAACATATTATTCAAATAAAAATAATCAAACAAACTTTTATAAATCTCGAATTGATCTTTTTCTTTTATTTAGGTTGAAATAAACTAATTAGATACAGTTCTACTCGTGTAGAAATGATGTTGTGATTTCAATTCAAATAAATTAAAGTAACACAATCAACTCTAACTAAACTTGAAATAATGTTAGTATTTCAATTTGAACATAGACAAGTGATAGGACTAACTACTGTTAGTTTAGAAAAGATGCTTTGATTTTAACTTGATGATAACTAGGTATTGATACCATATTTGGATCATGTCAATTAGATATTTGTAAATATCCGATTAATATCAACGAATATGTCGAACTTTCTGTAAATGAAGTAAAGTTTATTTTTACAATTGAAATTAAGTTGACTTTTTCACCTTATGACAACTGAAATGCAATAAGAAAAAAAAATGCCTACCTTCGTCTTCATCATCATCATCATCATCATCATCATCATTATCGTTGGAAACCAAAAATGTAACAGGTGCTAATATTGTTACTTTGTTTTTCAATGAATAATAAAAATATTTTGCCCATGGTGACATCCGTTTAGTTTTAACTTTGACGTTTTGATCATTTAATATAATAAATGCATCACGAACTAAATCATGATTAATTTTAATACTACCACCAGTTAATACTTTCAAATTTGTAATTTGTTGAGGTGTTAATTGTTGTTTCATTGTTTGTGATGGTGGTGGTTTTGATGAAATAAAACGAAATATATCATTTGAAATACGTTCCAATATAAAGTTTAACATTAATAGAGCTGTTGGTGTATCATCACCATTTGTTAAAGGCGTATGCCATAAATATACAAATGGCACCTGGTCAACATGACCAGTAACGAGAATAAATCGACATGATGATAATGCAGTTGTTCCGATTGTTGTATAACTAATATTTCATTTATCAAATTCTACTTCAACATCAACATCTGGCATTAAACGTATTGTTCTATCTGGATCAAATAGATTTTCATTAGTGATTAAATGTCAATCGTATATTATAATGTTTGCAAGAAATATTCAACAAACAAGGATCAAAAATAGCTCATTTGGCAACTTTGTGAGCCTTCGTTCTATATATTAAATTTTTGTTTTTGGTTTGAAAGAACATTTCAAGACATAGATAAAAATTGACGTTTTTCGAGAGAGGGAGGGGGGAAGGAGAGGGAGGGAAGGTTTAAAGAAAAAGAAGAATGTAAATGTAAAAACTACCTGTTTGATGATTAATGTTTGTTGTTGCATATTGAACGGGTAATGGTGGTAATGTATGTGAAGATAATGTTAACATATTATTTTTTTACTTCAAGTAAATAAGCAATTACATGATCAATTTCTTCTAATTTTAATTGTTTTCCATCAGCTAAACGACGTAATACTTTTGATAATGATAATTTGTCTTCATATGATAATGTCGGTTCGACAAAACCAATTGATGGAATATTTTTATTTCGACAATCATTTAAATTAATTTCTTCATTTCGAAACCATTGTTTATAACAAGTAAAATTTGTTAAAATAATATAATAACCATCTTGTAATTTTAAATTACGATGTTCTAAACAAAAAATTGTTTTATTCATTAATTAAATCGAAATTGACCAAAAATAAAACCTTCTGTTTGTCCATAAAGAATATGAAATGATGCAGTACGTCGTTTTTCATCCATTGGCATTGCAATTATTCCATAAAGAGATTTTTCACGTGCTGCATTTTTAATTGCTTCTGTTAATGTATAATCTTTTCGAAGAAGTATTACAGATGTTGATAAACCATGATAAACAAGATGAGATGAAATTTCTTCTGCATAATATCCAGATTTATTTAAAAAATAAATATTTTTAATCTCATTGTTTTTTGTTCTGATTAAAAAAAAATCAAACTTTTGATGAATATTAACAATAATTATTTGACAATCTACTATTTGTTTTGAATTATCAGATACTGATATAATAGTATAACATGATTCTTTATTTGAAGATTGATTTAAACCAGTTGAATAAGATCTTGATAAAGATAAACAATTACGACGAACACCAGCATTTATTTTCATTTCATTTGAATTTCTAAAATATTTATTTTTATATTTAATATCTATCATAAAATTACATTCAATCATTATTATTTATATTACATTGAACAGAAACAGGCTCAAATTTCACTTAAGATCATCATTCAAACGAAATATATTTTTTTTTCTTTTTATTCAATCTGATTAGAAGCATATTATTTACTTAATTGATCAATCTTCTATTATCAATTGATTTCAAAAATTTATTCATAAACATAAACAACTATAGAAATCAATTTCAATAATAAGAAATTATCTTTTCTACAAATCGATTTCAAATATAAATTTTATATTGAAAAGTCTCTTTTAGTTTTTTATTATTTAATATTCAAAAAGCAATGATATCAAATTGATCTTCTTATGCATAAATAATATGTCAATATTTGACAAAATCAACGACAATAGAAAAAAAAATAGTTCAACAAACTGAGACTAAATATTATAAACAAATGTTCAATGATTTTTACATAAATTATCTTTGAAATAATACCAAAACTAAATGATTTTCATCAAATCAATTAATTAAAAATCTATTTAATAATTTGTTTAGATATTCTACAAAGAAATTCTAAAATAGATTTTTTCTAAATAGTCATTTTAGGAGAGATGATTAACCATGGGAATTAGACGAAGCAAAACTAAAAGAACTTCGTTCTCTATATCTATTTTCAGGAAAAAATCGAGACTCATTATTAAGCATTTATAAAAATGACTCATTTCAAATAGTTCTTTGATAAAATTCGAATCGATGAATCATTGTTAGATATTTTTCTATAGTTCAAGTTAATAGTCTTATGATGGAATCTAAGGGGG